GTGCTTGTGTGTGGCGTGTGTGCATGTGTGTGGACTGTGTGGTGCGTGTGTGAGTGCTTGTGTGTGGCGTGTGTGCATGTGTGTGGACTGTGTGGCACACACGCTTGCATTTTCCCGGGGGCTGATCCATTGCATTCGTCATCTTCTCCAAAGGGGTCTATCTTTGCTGAAAGATTTGCTGACCAAAAAAAAAGGGTAGGGGGGGAGTTCAGCTGCTGATATTTTTTTAAATTTGGAAACAATCAGACCAGTCAAACTGCTCCCTTTTATGGTTAGAGAAACTGAGGCCCAGAAGAAATTGAAGCAAGAAAAAGGAAGTTGCCCAAGTTTACAGGCGAGTTAGTGGCAGCATCAGCACTAATACCCAGGACTCCTGGCCCCCAGCCCCAGATCCTCTTTCCGCCTGCCTCTATGGCCCTCCTCACATTTGTGTAGATGCGTAGCTTTTGCCCGTGGGAGAGGAGGGATGGGAGACGTGTCCAGACCCTCCTCGGAGGCCACATGAGCGGGACTGTTCTCGGCCCAAGTCTTTCCCGTTCTTCAGAGAATTTGCGGGGCCCCTGGGCACGCAAGCTGAGATCCACCCAGCCCTGGTCCCTTGGTGAGAACTGAGGGACAGGACCTGGTTCTGGGGAGAGATTGCAGGGGAATGTTCCTCCCTTCCGCAGCCCCCTCCCCAGTTAGGAGGCAGGCTCCCACCCCAGAAGGTGGCCAGGTTTTCATGCCTTCCTAGAGAAAGCTGGGGCTCATGGCCTCCACCACAGGGAGATGCAGACCCTCAGACACAACTCTGTGAAGTCACAACCAGCCCCAATTTACAGATGTGAAACTGAGGCTCCAAAAAGTCGGGAGGTCACTGAGCGGGGAGGTGATGGAGTGGGAACAGCTCCCAGATCTGGCTGAGGCCGAAGCCCTGGAGAGATCCCCGCAAAGCTCTCTTAGATGTCTGACTTTCTGTTCTTCCTGAAGCCTCACTCCCTTCTCTCCTGGTGCAGACACATCCCCGTCAGAAGGCACCAACCTCAACGCGCCCAACAGCCTGGGTGTCAGCGCCCTGTGTGCCATCTGCGGGGACCGGGCCACGGGCAAACACTACGGCGCCTCGAGCTGTGACGGCTGCAAGGGCTTCTTCCGGAGGAGTGTGCGGAAGAACCACATGTACTCCTGCAGGTGAGGAGCCTCAATTTCTCCAGCTGGGAAATGGGCACACTTGGGCTCATGGCCCCAAGGTCTGTCTTCTCCCTGAGTGGGTGGGTCCCAGAGACAGCTGCCCTTCAGGGCCTTCACGGCTCTTCTGGTTTTGTAGGCTTTGTGAATCCAAGATGAGCATCTATTCTAGGAACCACATTTACTGATCATCAAGCTACTGGCTGCCGTTTATTGAGCTCTTATCATACGCCAGGCACCATACTAAGTCTTCGTGTGTATTTAATCATCCCCTGGAGCCCATTGTTCTTTTTCCCATTCCATGAGGCCTCTTCTGAAGTCTCAGTAGATGAGCCCATCTTCCACTCTGGTGTTTTTTCGGGGACAAATAAGAGATTGACCCCAGGCCACTCCACCGACCCCAGGCCATTCCACTTACCCCAAGGGCTTCCACCAAACCCTAAGTCTTCTCAAGGCCTTGGAGAGCCCTCTTCCGAAAGCATCTCCTGTTCTGGGTAACGACAATAATAAAATCATAGCAGCTGTCAATCGTGAGCACTTGTCATGTACAGAGACTGTGCCCATCAGTGCATGACTTCATTTCACCTGTCAACACCCTGTGAGATGGTTGCTGTTGTTATTCTCGTTTTATAGAGGAGGAAGCTGTGGCGTGGAGCGCTAGGCATTTGCCCAAGGTCAACCAGCTTGAATCAATGGCAGAGCCAAGGTTAATATTCAGGACCCCACCCATCACCACTGTGTGGCACTGCCTCTACTTCCTATCCGCCTCCAGAGAGAGGCTTATGTGAACCAAGTATTAACTCTGAGCCATAACCAGGAGCCTGCTCTGGGTTCTGGGCTTTTATAGGATGTGGTGGAAATAGCAAGGCTCTGGTACTCAAAAGGTCGAGGTTCCCAACTCAGCTCTAACACCAACCAGCAGAGCAACCCATGACCACATGTTGCCTCTCTGAGCCTCAGTTTCCCCATATTTAGCAGGACAGTACTGGGCTCTTAGAGAGTTCATAGCACCTCTCCAGCTGCTGGTGGGCTCAAGAGAGAACTCCTGGGATGAAGAGATGGGAGCACTGAGGCTGGGGGGTCAACTGGATAGCCAGGGCCCTAGTTCTGTCCTTAGAGGAGGAAGTTGTGTCTTCTCCATCCAACCATCCAAAGCCCTCCCCAGATTTAGCCGGCAGTGCGTGGTGGACAAAGACAAGAGGAACCAGTGCCGCTACTGCAGGCTCAAGAAATGCTTCCGGGCTGGCATGAAGAAGGAAGGTGAGCCTTGGCCCTCCCCACCCCCCCACCACTGCCCCACCTGCACCCACATCTCCCCGACAGTCATTTACAACTGTAGCCACACTTTATGACTCAGTGGCAGGCCCCAGGGTGACTGGCTAATGGCTGAGAAGAGGGAGGGCCGGGAAATCTGACCATAGGGAGCGGCTGGGCTTGGTCTTGAGAAAGATTCGGAGAGATAAGCTCCTACTCTTGGCTCCTCAGGCTCCCAGCAACCACCACCCCTGCCTGCCTGTCTGTGCCACCACAAAGCAGCCACATTGTGTGTGTGTGTGTGTGTGTGTGTGTGTTTTAATATAATATTTTGAACATTAGGACAAGCATAGAGAATGACATTGCAAACATCTGAGTACTCACTACCCCAGCTTTACAAAGGGGATAGCCAGGGGTACCCGATGCCTGAGCTTCCTGTCCCAGGGACAAATGCCCCAATTCCCTTAGTATTCATTTGTGGGTGTCAGGTGATCTCCAAAGTCTTCACATTCTAGAAAATGGGAACAAGACCCCAGTCCCATCCTGGACGAAGGAGGAGGAGAAGACCACAGCACAATATTTATTAAGGTCTTGCCAGGCCTCCTGCTACCAGCAGGTATCAGTCACTGGGCTGGCCTTTTTCCACACTTCAGTGGGCTGGGTTCATTTCATCTTCATGACAACCCTGTGTGGGAAAATGTCATGAAAATGAAAGGAGACCAGCCCATTGAACCTATTACAATTCCTCCCTTTTTGTGGATGCAAGAACTGAGGCCCACAATGGTTAAGCAACTTGCCTAGGGCCCCACAACTGCTCCTTGGAAGACGTGAGGTCCCAGAGCTTCTGTTATTGGGACCACACTTCAGCACTGTCTATTATTTTATGCCCTCCAGATCCCAGGGACATTTAAAATTGTTTTCAGCCCAAGCAAGGGGAGCAAAAATCTTTTAACTGCTTTAAAGTAACTTGAGGCCAGGCGCAGTGGCTCATGCCTGTAATCCCAGCACTTTGGGAGGCCGAGGCAGGCAAATCATTTGAGGTCAGGAGTTCGAGGCCACCATGGTAAAACCCCATCTCTACTAAAAATACAAAAAAAAAATTAGCTGGGCGTGGTGGCACATGCCTGTAGTTCTAGCTATTCGGGAGTCTGAGGCCTGAGAATCGCTTGAACCCAGGAGGCGGCGGTTGCAGTGAGCCGAGATCATGCCACTGCACTCCAGACTGGGCAAGGCAGTGAGACTCTCTCGAAAAATAAAAAAGTAACTTGAGTTCATTTTCGAATCTCTTCATTCCCTGCTCCTCTAAAGTCAACTTTTCCCAGCTCTGCAACTAGTCCCAGACCTTCCCTTCTAGTCCACAGTTGGGCCGCACCAGCCAAACCTTGGTCTAGTCCTGCTAGTTCTGTAGAAACACCCCCCACCCCCACCACCCAAGCACACCCCAGAGGCAGGAATGTAGGACCCAGCTTGCTCCAGGGCCCACTGAGAAGGAGGGGAGGGGAGGCTTTGGTAGACGCTGTTTCCCCTGTATCTGCTCCTGGCCCCCTGTTTTCTCTGCCCCCTCCCTTGGAAATATCTTCTATGTCTCATCCTTATGGGGCCTTAGTTGGAACTCACGAGCTGTCTTGGAAAATCTGGGCTTGTTGACCCCGCTGCAGGAGTGGGTGGTCCCCAAGGCCTGCTCTAAACACTACAATTCTAACATCTAGACCTCAGTGGTTCTCTAAGAGCAAGAGGGGCTTTTTCAAGCTGCAGACACTCCCTCATCTCCCAAACCCAGTTTTCAATGGGGTTGAGCCTGTCCCATCCACTTCAGCTTCCGTTCTGTGGACCGAGAAAGGTTATGAATGGGAACCTGATGCACGTGTGAACAGCTGGAGGCAAGAAAAAGATTGAGGAGTACAGACTAAGGTTCCAACATTTCCTGGTCGTATTAGTCAGTGATTCCATTATCCCAAAAGCCTAAGATTTTAGGCACTACGATTGCTCCTAGGTGTCATCCAGAGGGCACTGCGTTTGAGAGAACGTCTCTGTCATAGTGAAAGCTCAGGTCTGTGACAGGCAGAAGGGAGAGGGGTTGGCAGCCCTCCTGAGTGGATGGCTACCCACCTCCACTGCGTGTGGCCTGGTCCTGCATGTGATCAGTTGTTACAAATGTCTCTTTTAGACATCCAGAGTCATTTTCACTTGTGTAATTTAGGGACGTTTCTGTCCCTTCTGGCCTCTAGTTTTCCCATCTATAAAATGAGGACATTGGATAATGAACGCTTCAGCCCTATGAGTCTCGCTCCTCACTCCCTGACCTACCTGCACAAGTCACACTGCCCACTAGGATGGGTGTGTTTGTTCCCTGGTCCCCTCTTTTTTTTTTTTTTTTTTTGAGATGGAATTTTGCTCTTGTTGCCCAGGCTGGAGTACAATGGCACAATCTCGGCTCACGGCAACCTCCACCTCCTAGGTTCAAATGATTCTGCTGCCTCAGCCTCCCAAGTAGCTGGGATTACAGGCGTGTGCCACCACACCTGGCTAATTTTGTATTTTGAGTAGAGATGGGGTTTCACCATATTGGCCAGGCTGCTCTTGAACCCCTGACCTCAGGTGATCTGCCTCGGCCTCCTAAAGTGCTGGGATTACAGCCGTGAGCCACTGCGCCTGGCCCCTGGCCCTCTCTTGAGCTGCTGCAAAGCCAGAAAACCCCTTACTAGGCTGCTGGAAAGGGGGTGAGAGCCCCAGACCATTCAGCCTTAGCTCAGCCTTGAAAATAGCTGCTTGCTTCCTGGCCCAGGGAAACGGACATGCTGCCCGGAGGATAGGAGAGTTAGCTGATGGCAAGTGAGCATGGGTTAGTTGATGCTGATGCTTGTTTACATGCCTGGGTTACCTGGAAGTTCATGACACATGCAGTCACTTGGTTGTTTTGAGAACGGGCCAGAGTGACAAAGTGTTCAGTGGTCACTGTGGTCAAGCTGTAGGAAATGAGAGTATTCCTAGCTGTGCCTAAGTCTTCTAGGCCCCACCAACCCTCCTCAGCCTGCCGGGAAGCTCCCAAAGCCCAAAGAAAGTCTCGGTGGAAGTCTCACTGGCCCGGAGAGTTGGGACAAGTTTTCATTCTTTTTCTTGATGACCTTAGGAGAATTTGAGGACTGAAATCCAAAATAGTCCCTGAGAACCAGAAAGTGTGAACTGGGAAGGTGGGATTTCGAGACCAGCTGAGTCTATAAGAGGACATCAAACCTACCCGCTCCCCACTTTACAGAAGAGGATACCGAGGCTAGAGAGGTGATGTGATGGGTCAGGGCTGGAGTCAGGTCTAGAACTCAGGCTCCCCAGAGCTGAGCAGACGCCACGCTCCCTGGAGTGAAACTTGCAGTGATCCGTTTGGGAGGCACATTTCTTGATCTAGACGGCTGAAACTTTCTCTCGACCACAGAGAGGGGCTTCAGGTCTCATGGGCCTGTAAGTCTCCGCCAGAGGATAGTCCACCGTGGCCGGAACGGGCTCCCTGGAGGGACAAAGAATCCAGGGAGAACCCTGGGGGTCAATGGGCCAACAGCGGGCCAAGAATTCTTTCCTGTAACCCAAAGCCAGGGAGACAGACACCTGCCTGAGCCTCCGCTGTCAGGCCCGGGACAAATATCCGGCTCCTGGCATCAAAAACCCAGCCCAGAAAGCAGACCCAGGGTTGCAGGAGGTGAGCGTTGGTGATGGGCCAGGGGCCATCTGATGGAACCTTCCTCGGAAGCCACGGCCCTGCTCCCCACAGCCCCCTACCCAGGAGTTCTCTGGGAAGACAGGCTCATCACCTCTCCGCCTCTGCCCAGGTCGGTTAATATTCAATAGAAGTTACATTAGGTCCCCGACCCTGCTAATACTGAGCAAACATTTGGAAAACATCATTCCGTGACTGAGCTCGCGCCGGGCACTGATAACGCCTGCCTAACCTTGAGGAGCCCTAGCCGCAGCTGCTGACAGCAGCCCTTTCATTCGGCCCGCCGGCCACTTGGCGCCCTGGTGGGTGGGTGCGGGCGCTGGCAGGAGGCTGCCGTGGGAGGGGTGTGGGCAGGTGGGGCGGACGGCCCGGGCAGGGAAACCGTGCTCTGAGCTGGCCCTGTCCACGTGGTGGGTCTGAGAGGAGGCTGTGCTTCTGGACTTCTGTTCCATCCACTGACTCCCGGGCTCAATGCAGAGGATTTGGCTTTTATTCTCTGATTTTAACAGTGTGTCAACATCAAGAGAAAGTCGAACAGCTAGGGTGTCAATGTTCCCTGGAGAAATAGGGTTCTTATGAGAATTAGAGTTTATGACCAGGCGTGGTGCCTCACACCTGTAATCCCAGCATTTTGTGAGGTTGAGTGGATCACTTAAAACCAGGAGTTTGAGACCAGCCTAGGCAACATAATGAGACCCCATCTCTCAAAAAAAAAAAAAAAAAAAAAAAGCCAGGCATGGTGACACATGCCTGTAATCCCAGCTATTCGGGAGGCTGAGGCAGGAGGATCACTTGAGCCCAGCAGGTTGAGGCTGCTGTGAGCTATGATTGCGCCACTGCACTCCAGCCTGAGCAACAGAATTAGACCCCGTCTCAAAAACAAAAAGAGAAAAAGAAAAAGAATTAGAGCTTGTCTCCTCCAGCGCCTTATTTCTCTCACTTCACAAATATTTATTGAGCACCTACTGTGTACCAGGCTCTGTTCTGGTGGCTGGGACGACAGCAGCGACAGCAGGGTTGGAGTTTTGGCCTTCTGAAGCTTTCCTTCTCAGAGAGAGACAGATAGTAAAGGAAGTAACAAATAATTCTACAATAAGTGCCCTGAAGAAAAATAAAGCGGGGTAGGGCAGGGCCAGGGTCGGCGGCATGCTGTGTGAGACAGGGTGGCTGGAGAGGGTGTCTGAAAGGCGACATTTGTGCAGAGGCAGGAGTGAAATGAAGACGCTGCTGCGCTGTGCGGGAAAGGGAACGCCAGGCAGTGGCCACAGCAGCCCTCAAGTGTGCGGATGCATCCAGGTGGGGAGGCGGGTTTTCGGGGACAGAGTGAGTAGTGGGACGCCGCTAAAAGGTGCGATCAGAGAGGAGAGGAAGGGCCGTAGGGACTTGTGAGGTTGGAAGGCACTGGTTTTGAGCAGTAGGGGACACGACTTGAACGGATCCCTCTGTGAGAGGACTATAGACTGCAGGCACAAGGAAGAAGCAGAGCCCAGGAGGAGGCTGATCTAATCCAGGAGAGACAGCGGCCCGGGAGCAGGGAGGGAGCAGCGGGTCTGTTTGTCAGGATCATGACAGCACTGAGGGGAAGCCAAGGAAGGCACCCCGGCTTGATGGACTGGAAGAACCAACCTGCCAGTCCCTGAGACGAGAAAGTGCAGGGAGCTGGCTGGCAGGGAGATGCCTACAGGTAGGGAAACTGAGCCCCAGAGAGAGGCTGCGATTGCCACCAGCACACAGAGTGGCAGGTTCCAGACAGGAAGCCGGGTCTTGTGCAGCTTCATCATCTCTCCTTTCCGAATCAGCCAAGCCTCATTCCACAGTGAGGCCTCTTGGACTCTAAGGGCTATTCCGTTCACTGTCAGGACAGTGGAAGGATCATCTTCTATCTCAGGCCAGGACTGACCCAGATGGGGGCGGGCAGTGGAGCCTGGGGCCCCAGTGGGCTGAGGCTCCAGATCCCTCAGTGCCTGGAACAGAACAGCAGTGGGAGGGAGGGAGACAGAGCCTGGCCTTGCTGACACTGAGGTTAGTCTGGAGTACATGCAGCTCCTGATGATGTACAAAACCATCAAGGCAGTTGGAGCCCCCAGATCCCCTTGTTCAGGAATCTCCAGGCCATCTCCGTGTCACCCAGAGTAATTTGTTTTGCTTGCTTTACTCACTTTGATTTGGAAAGAAAGGGACCCTTTTGTAGACCGGAGCCTGAACATGTTTAATCTAGTCAAACCCCATCCTCAATGCTCAAGACCCATTTTAAGCCCATAGCTGAGTCATCACTGTCTTGCACGCCCCTAATGATGAGTGGATCACTCCTATAGCCTCTCCATTGTGTGGGGGGCAGTTCTGATCTGTGGAAAGTTCTTCCAGCAGCTGAGTTAGAGGCCATCTCCCCTCAATCCACATGCTGATGTGGGCCTGTTCTCTGGACGCCCCCCACCTCCTGCTCCCACTCCTCATCAGTCACAGACACTCCCACCCCCTCACTCCATCGCTGCTCTCCCTCCTCACCTCTCTCTGCCTCCTCACAGCCGTCCAAAATGAGCGGGACCGGATCAGCACTCGAAGGTCAAGCTATGAGGACAGCGGCCTGCCCTCCATCAATGCGCTCCTACAGGCAGAGGTCCTGTCCCGACAGGTACCGGGGTGACCCTGCCACTCACCCAGGGGTCCCCCATACTACAGAGGAGCTCACCTCCTCCACCTCCATTCTCCCCAGCCAGGCCCTGGAGCAGCTGATGGGAGAGGCCTCAGATATTACAGAGGGATACTGAGTCTGGTGTCACATGGCCCAGTTAGCAGCAAGGGCAGAACTCGAACCTGGTGCCCTGGGGCACGTTCTGATTCATCCTACTGCCTGCATCCCACAGGCCAAGCAGAGTCTTCGCCTTCACTGAGGGCCTGCAATCAGCTCAGCCCTGAGAGAACAAAGCAGTGGTTCAGTGGACAGAGGTGGCAACGTGGGGCCCAGCCCATCCCTTGCTGAGTGACCTTGGGCAAGTCACAGCACCTCTATGAGCCATGGTTGCCTCACTGTCACATAAGGATGGTGATTTTTTTCCCTGCTTCTCCTCTAAGGCTGAGAGACTGCTTGGCGCTCTAAAGCTGATAGAGGAGGAGGCAAGGGGCAGGTAACAGGTGAAGGCCAAGAGGGAGCCCTTCTCCCTCATCCCTGCCTCCTCCCTCCCTCCGTTTTTACCCTGAGCTTCCTTTAGAGCTGGAAGGCACCCACTATGCAGCCCCCTCCTCACATCTGATTCCAGGGAGGGGGCTCTGTGCAGGGGACAGAGAGTGCAGGAGGGCCCGGACATCTCCAGCATTTTCTTCCCTGTATCCCTTGAAGATCACCTCCCCCGTCTCCGGGATCAATGGCGACATTCGGGCGAAGAAGATCGCCAGCATCGCAGACGTATGTGAGTCCATGAAGGAGCAGCTGCTGGTTCTCGTCGAGTGGGCCAAGTACATCCCGGCTTTCTGCGAGCTCCCCCTGGACGACCAGGTAAGGATGGGCGTGGATGGTGGGCAGTAGTGGGCACCCGGCAGGGCAGCCAGGGGGCTGCTGGCCCATCTGGGATATAGCCATGGACTGGCTTGATTTTATTTTATTTAACAAAATGCGTAGTGCACACATGTGTCTGAAACTTTAAATCACCTTACAAATATTAACTCAGTTAGCTCCTCCAACAACTCTATGAGGTAGGTACTAAGGTTCCATTATTACTGCCATCTCATAGGTGAGGAAATTGGGGCACAGAGAGGTTAAGTAACCTGCTCAAGGTCACATAGCTACTATCCAGCACAGCTGGGATTAGAACCTAGTAGGGAAGCTCCAAAGTCCAAGCTCCTAACCATCGTACCCGTGGCTCTCCCAGGGGGATGTTGACAGGGACCCTGGGACAGGGATCAGGAGATTTTGGCTTAAGCTCTGGCTCTAATACTGGTTGTCTGCCTAATCCTGGGCAAATGACTTCCTCTCTCTGAGCCTCAGTGTTCTCTTAACTGTAAAGTGGAAATGCTAATATCCACTTTCGAGTGTGGTTAGGAGGATTGAGGACATTACTGTCCGAAAAGTGTAAAACTCGGGTGATGGAGCAAGCTGCGCAGTGGCGGGACCAGAGCTCGTCTCCCTAAATGTTAGTTTCTTCCTTCTTTCCCACCAAAACAGTTGAACTCAGCATCGTATTTCCCACCATACATTTTTTTTTTTTTTTTGGAATACTAAAATGTCCCTGGGGGAAGAAAGGGTTGAAGGAAGGTGGCGTGTGTCTGAGAACAGATGAATTTCGGAGATGCCACCTATGAAGCTCCTGCCCAGAGCACCCCTGGGCCTCCAAAGAGGTGTTCCCCATCTAGGGAAGAGGAGCTGGGCTGGGCCACCTCCCCACCTTTGGAGACAGCCTCTGGTGCATTCACTTACCTGTTTCATACCTTTGCATAAGACACCAACAATGCATGTGAGTCTGTGAAAACGTCTGAGAAGTTGACTTCTCAGAGGCCAAGGCTTCCCAAACTCCTTCGGCCCCAAGATTCTCCTGGAACACCTGTTATTACTGCATATAGGGACACTGTGAAAATGCTGGTTTGGCTGGTCCCCAGCCTCACACAGGGGCTGGACCCAGGGTCCTCTTCCATGGTTCCTCCCTCCGTTAGCAGAGTCAACAGGGCAAGGATCTTGGACAATCTGCCCCTACCCTCTCCCCTGCTCCTTGTGCTCTGGCCCCAGTCCCCTCTGCTGGAGTCTCTACATTAATGTTTAATCCCTCCTGTTCCTTCCCAGGGGCTTAGCAGGGCAACAAGATACCCCCAACCTGAGCAATTGTTAACCTCGATTTCCCACCCAAACCTCCCTGGCTGGGGCTCAGAGCATTCTCAAAGAGCAATGATGGGTGGCCAATAACAGAGGACAATCATTAACACACCACCCGACCTCCCGGCCCACCCCCCAGAACAGCTGCCATATCAGGGGGTTGAACCTGGGATCAGAAGGGCTCCCAGCTCCCCATTCCTGGTGTATGAGGAGCCCAGCTTGCCCAGTGCAGGTGGGGCATCCCTGGGAAAATCGGGGGCATTGTCCTCCAAAGGGCATTCCAATTCTGTTGACATTGCCCCAGAAACTAGATTCCCAGTTGGTGTGCTTCTTGGGCCTGGATACAACCGGAGAAAGAGACTGGGGCTTAGAGAGAGACAGCAATTTGCCTGAAGTCAGAGCAAGTTAGCCACAGAACTGGGATTCAAATCCAGGTCTTCTGCTTTGTGGTGTGAAGGCCACTGGGGTGACTGATGAAAGGCTTGCACAGTGCCTGGCACACAGGAGGCACTCAGCAATCAGCATCCTCGGCCTGCCTCCATACTGGTCATGGAAAGTGGATTTCCCCTCCCAGGCAGTTTCCTCTTTTTCTGTTTTCGTCACAAGATTCTATCCATGGGGAATAGAAGTGGCAAGGACAAGTGGCTGCCCAGGAGCAGCTAGAGCTAGAGAAGAAGTCAAGATGTTTGCTCATTCATTCATTCATTCATTCATTCATTTCCCCTTCCCTTCCTTCCTTCATTCAAATATTTATTGAAGGCTTATTTTGTGCCAAATACCTTCAGGCAAATCTCTTTTTTCCTCTAACAACAATTTCACCTCCTTAGAGGCCTCCTCTGACCTCCCCACCTAATGTAGCCATTCTTGCCCCATTGCTCTCACCATCCTTTCAACTCCCCTCCCTCCCTTCTTCCCTTCCTCCCATCTTTTCTCCTTCCTCTTTCTTTTATGTTGTGATCACCCACTGTGCTGTGTATTTATTTGTTCTCTACTGTCTGTTCCATACTTTCTCCTACAAAATGTTAGTTCGATGAGACTGGACACCTTGTCTCTCATTTTTAAACATTGTGCCTCCATTGTCTTAAAAAGTGTCTGGCATGTAGTAGGCATTTCGGATTTGATAACTGAAAGAACGAACAATCAAATGAATGAACAAACAAAGGCATTTTAACCTTCCAGTTTGGCTTGCTATAGAACCTCCAAACTCCCTAACTCAGCCTTGAAGATAAGATACTTGAGGCTGCCAGCCTGGTGCTGTTTTGTTTCAGCCATCCTTTGGTCCTCAGGCAAGCACTAAAGCAGATGGCCCTCAGTGGGCTGGCTATGTCCTTCTGTGAGCTTGCTGGGCGCCTACCTACGATTCTAGTCTTCGAAGTCTTGCCTTGTACGCTCTGCAGAGAAGGGTTTCATCAAGGTGATTCTCTGCCAGAGGCCAGTGCTCATACCTTTGCTTTGAGAAGGACCAGCCCTGAGACCCAACATCCACCTCCAAGTTCTTGTAATGCCCTCTCAGAATCCCGGAGTCCTGCAATGTCAGTCCCTGGAGGGATCTGCCAGAGCAATGATTTCCCAGACAGAACTGCACTTCAGAGTCAACTGTGGAGCTTATTAAACACAGATCCCTGGGCCCACCCTAAACATACAGAATCAGGATCAGAATCTCAGGGCCTGAGAATCTATGTTTTCAGGCCGGGCACAGTGGTTCATGACTGTAATCCCAGCACTTTGGGAGGCCGAGTTGGGCTGATCACCTGAGGTCAGGAGTTCGAGATCAGCCTAGCCAATATGGTGAAACTCCATCTCTCCTAAAAATAAAATTAGCCAGGCATGGTAGTGCACGCCTGTAGTCTCAGCTACTCTGGAGGCTGAGGCACGAGAATCACTTGAACCTGGGAGGCGGAAGCTGCAGTGAGCCGAGATCGTGCCACTGCACTCCAACCTGGGCGACAGAGTAAGACTCTGTTTCAAAAAAAAAAATAATAATAGAATCTGTATTTTTACAAAACACCCTTCATAATTCTCCATAGCTGGTCCATGGGTGGGAATTTGGGTTTTGGAACTTTTTGGGATCATAGACCTTTTTGAGAATCTCAAAAAAGAAAATAAAAAGCACACAGAATGTTTCTTACAGTTTCATCAGGCACACAGAAGAGGCCCAGCGCGAAGCAGCTTCTCACCCAAGGACACAACAGTTCAGGGGCAGAGTCAGCGCGAGGTCTCTCCGCTCTGAGCGCATGTTCTTTTCCCTTCCGGTTTTCTGCAGAATCCCTTCCAGGTTTCTAGTTTTATGGGCAGTAGTTTTATGATGTCTATTTCACGGTTCAGGCAGGTAGAGGCAGAGGGGAACATTAAGCTGACTTGCCCAGCGTCACTGAGTTGGCTACGGGCAGCTTTCCCAAGGGTACAGATGGCAAACACTGTTCCTTCTCTTTCAGGTGGCCCTGCTCAGAGCCCATGCTGGCGAGCACCTGCTGCTCGGAGCCACCAAGCGATCCATGGTGTTCAAGGACGTGCTGCTCCTAGGTGAGGAGGCTGCCTGCCCTGGCCTGGGCTCCAGGGAGGGCATACCTAGCATGGCACTCACCCAGGCAAGGAGATTCACATGGTGGCATGCAAGGGCGAGGGAGACTAGTCAGGAGTGGCCCTGTCCTCAGGCTTGCATTGGAGGGTTCCAGGACTCAGTTCTCAACTGGGTACCCCACTCAGATGCAAAGAAATGTGATGTAAGGCATCAAATTCCCAGCAGTAAAGTCAGAGCACAATCAGGATTATCCCTGGAATTACCTGTGCATCTTTTTTTTTTTTTTTGAGTCTTGCTCTGTCACTCAGGCAGGAGTGCAATGGTGCAATCTCGGCTCACTTCAGCCTCCGCCTGCCAGGTTCAAGCAATTCTCCTGCCTCACCCTCCAAAGTAGCTGGGACCACAGGTGTGCACCACCACACCCAGCTCATTTTTGTATTTTTAGTAGAGACAGGGTTTCACCATGTTGACCAGGCTGGTCTCAAACTTCTGGCCTCAAATGATCCACCTGCCTCAGTCTCCCAAAGTGCTGGGGTTACAGGTGTGAGCCACTGTGCCCAGCCTACCTGTGCATTCTGATGCTCTTTCTGGAGTAGGAGCAAGAGGTGGTTGGGAATGGCACAAAGCCCAGGCCATGTCACCTGTGCCTTCATGGCATATTTTTTATTATTATTATTATTTTTTTTTTCTGAGACGGAGTTTTGCTCAGTCGCCCATCTGGAGTGCAGTGGCACGATCTCGGCTCACTGCAAGCTCCGCCTCCCAGGTTCACACCATTCTCCTGCCTCAGCCTCCCGAGTCGCTGGGACTATAGGCGCCCACCACCATGGCCGGCTAATTTTTTTGTGTGTGTGTATTTTTAGTAGAGACGGGGTTTCACCATGTTAGCCAACCATGATCTCCTGACCTCGTGATCCACCTGCCTCGGCCTCCCAAAGTGCTGGGATTACAGGCGTGAGCCACCGTGCCTGGCCAGCATATTTATTATTTTAAACGCTTGTACAGCACACACTATGCGCCAGGGACTGTGCTCACTCTTTTGCAAACACTACCTATTTTAATACAACAATGCTATGAGGGAAGCTCGATTATTTATCCTCATCTTATAGATGAGAAAACTGAGGCACAGAGAGGTTAAGTAACTTATCCAACTCTAACCGGCTATCAGGGGCAGAGCCATTTAAGCAGGGCAGTGCAGTTCCAGAATCTGGTCCTTTAACTTTGATGCTTTGGTGCCTACCAGCTGGCCTTTGAATGGCATCGATCTTGTGAGTCACATTGGTAAATGGAGCTTGGGTCATGTGAAAGGGGTCCTAGAAAGTCAAGTTCCAAGCTCAGCCGGATTACTGGAGGCAGCTCATCTTCTGAATCTGGGCCTCAGCTTCCTTACCTGTGAAATAGGAGTCATCAGCCCTGCAGGTCCTCCTCCCACAGGCACCAACTATCTTGCCAACTTAAAAGCCAAAACTAGAGGAGAGAGGTCAACCCAAGGTGACTTCCCATCCTCCCTCCCTCCCAACCCTTCCAGGCAATGACTACATTGTCCCTCGGCACTGCCCGGAGCTGGCGGAGATGAGCCGGGTGTCCATGCGCATCCTTGACGAGCTGGTGCTGCCCTTCCAGGAGCTGCAGATCGATGACAATGAGTATGCCTACCTCAAAGCCATCATCTTCTTTGACCCAGGTACAGTGCACACCTCCTAAGCCATCCCTGACTCTCTCTCCAGAACACTCTGCCAGACTTCTCCTATTGGGTTATGTACAGAGTTCACAACCTCATCTCATGTTAACGACAGCTAGGAGAAGCCGTTTTCATTTAACAGATGAGCCAAGTCAAGATTTGAAGGGAGGATATGGCCAGGTGCGGTGGCTCACAGCTGTAATCCCAGCACTTTGGGAGGCCGAGGCAGGCGGATCACATGAGGTCAGGGGTTCAAGATGAGCCTGGCTAACATGGCAAAACCCCATCTCTACTAAAAATACAAAAATTAGCCGGGTGTGGTGGTACATGCCTGTAATCCCAGCTACTTGGGAACTGAGGCAGGAGAATCACTTGAACTTGGGAGGCGGAGGTTGCAGTGAGCCAAGATCGCGCCACTGCATTCCAGCCTGGGTGACAAAGTGAGACACCATCTCAAAGAAACACAAAGGGAGGATATGACTCGACAGGGCACCCTGACTCCAAAGGCCTGGGCTTTCCCTTCTTTTACTTCTTCCCTCCCTCCTTCTTACTCCTTACTTCCCATCTTCCTCTTTTCTTTCATATTTGCTGCTTTTCCTCAAAAAATTTTTATCATAATAATATCTAGAACCTGATGTGGTGGCTCACACTTGTAATCCCAGCACTTTGGGAGGCTGAGGCAGGAGGATCACTTCAGGCCAGGAGTTCGAGACCAGCCTGGCCAACATAATAAGACCTCGTCTCTATAGAAACTAAAAAAAAATTAGCCAGGGATGGTAGTGAGCACCTGCAGTCCCAGCTACTCGGGAGGCCAAGGTGGGAGGATCTCTTGAGCCCAGGAGGTCGAGGCTGCTGTGAGCTATGATTGCACCACTGCACTCCAGTCTGGGTGACAAAGCAAGACCTCATCTAAAAAATAAATAAATAAGTAAATAAATAAATCTACACATACTTAAAATGCAAATACTTCTCCCCATCCTACTTTTTCAGCTCTAAGTCTACTCCCCAAGAGAAACATGTCTGATTCTTTTAATTGTTTCTTCTGGCAGTTTCCTCAACAATTCTAAATGAAAGACTAAGCCTTATATTTGTTGATGTATTCATTTTGGATCGTAACGTTCCTCTTAGGATAGTGGAGGATTTCGCTTTTCTCCATTACCATTCCCATCTTTTCTCCCTCATTTTCCCCAATATATTTTTATTGCTATTTTTGTGTCTCTGTTGCATGTTATGTGCTTTTATCTTTCTTTTCTTGTTCTATCAACTGTAGACAGTATCTCCCAACCCTTCACATTGCAGGATGAAGATAAAGCATTACTACCCTCTCCTGCGGCTCTTGGCTCTCCTCTCCCCATTCTGTCCACTGACGTTCGCACCTGCGTTTATACAGAATGCTTTGTAGTCAGACTTTGTACAAAACCTGCTTTTGTTTCCCAGTGTCAAAGGTGCCTGAACCCCAGAGGCTTGCTTGCCTTCCCTGCTTACATGTTAGAGGGGACCTACTGTGTGCCCGGCACTGTCCTTCACACTGCAGACAGATTACCTCTAGTAATAATAGTAATGAAAAGGCCGCGTGCGGTGGCTCATGCCTGTAATCCCAGCACTTTGGGAGACTGAGGCAGGCAGATTACTCAAGGTCAGGAGTTCAAGACCAGCCTGGCCAACATGGTGAAACCCCGTCTCTACTAAAAATACAAAAATTAGCTGTGTGATTTCAAGGCAGGAGAATCACTTGAACCCGGAAGGCGGAGGTTGCAGTGGGAGCCAAGATCATGCCATTGCCCTCCAGCCTGAGCAACAAGAGCAAAACTTCATCTCAAAAAACAAAAGAAAACAAAGCAAAAATATATATATATAGTGATGAAGAGGAAGATGAGCCCCATGTATTAAATGCTCACTAAAGAACTGTTTTTAAACACTTCATGTGGATTATCTTACTTACCAACATGGTACCTGTGAAGTAGGAATTATTATCTCCATTTAACAGATAAGGAAACTGAGGCATGATTAACTTGCCCAAGGTCACGCAACCAGAAAATGGCAGAGCTTGGATTTGAACTTCAGACCACCTGTCAATCCCGATTTCTCTCTCTCTCAAGCCCACATTCTTTTTTTTTTTTTTTTTTTTTTTTT